GCGTTACCTCAGTAGGCACATTTATTGATTCTATTCTAATAAGCAACACTCCCATTTTATGATGGAATAGTTACTTGGCTAATAACTCGTTCCTCCTTGTCAATTGGTTCTCTGCCATTGTAACCTCTAGAGAGGCCTTTCCTAATCACTCTATTTGAAAATCCAAACTTCCTACTTTCTATCCCTGAACCTCACCATATTACCTTTATAACCCTCCGAAATCTGTAATTATCTTGCCTACTTACCTATTTACTGTCTGACTTCCAATTAGAAGGCAAGTTCCCCAAGGACAAGGGCCTATTTTTACTTGTTCACTATTATATTCCCAACACTTAGAGAGGGCCTGATACACAAGTGCTCAAAAAATATTTTTTGAATGAATCATTCCATGAATGACAGAAGATAAGTTAACCTCAAGTGTACTTACTAATATTTTCTTTGCAACAGGAAAATTAGTTGCCACATACATATTTAAAAAACAAACAAAAAACATGAGATAGTAGTAGTTAAAAGCATAGGCTCTACAATCAAAACGACCTAGGTTTGCATTTTGGCTCATCATTGCATTATCTTAAGCAGATTACTTAATCTAAGCATCAGTTTTCTCATCTATAAAACAGGGCTAACACTGAGTAACAAAATGGTCACTAGGAAAAGCTACATAATTAGCATAATTTTTGAAATAAAGATAGCAATTATTATGCTATTACAAAAATGCTAGTACAGGAAATAAATGTTTAACTAGAGTTTTATGCTACCCAGGAAAGTCCCTACAAGAGGTAAAACAAGCATGAAAGAAAAAAATGACCAAATAATTTTATATCTAGTAACCTTTATAAGTAAAATGAGTGACCTTTTGATTCTATATCATGCTTAATAAAATGGCATTTTGAATAATGGGTCAACATTTTAAATGTAGGTCAGTAATAAAATGAATTTCCTTCATTTAATTTGGGTTAGTGGTTGTCTTGGGATGCCAGTAATAGCAGTTTTTCTGGTCTAGAAAGAATCTGCTCTGTTACTAAACAATTTTAAATTATGCTTTTGAGATCACTCAGCTGATCTTAAAAGTGAAGTTATTGTCCCCCACCCTCAGCCTAAACTTATATCTTAAGTTCAGAGTTCACTTGAAACCTTAACTTGATTACACTACATATAATACAATGACTGCATATACACTGTTTTATTTTAAACAAACACTCTGAGAATGATAATGATAAAAGAGGAGGGGGGAAACAGGGAGGCAGGTAAGAGAAAGAAAAAAGGGGAAAGGGGAGCTTTAAAACCAGTAATTTCAAAAGATGAAAAAATCCTAATGGGAAAAAATTTTCATATATGCTTATAAAGAAGTTAGAATAGCCCAGCTGATAGGGCTCAGTGGTTGAGTGTTGACCTATGAACCAGGTCACATGCTTGGGTTGCAGGCTCCATTCCCAGTAGTGGGCATGCAGGAGGCAGCTCATCAGTGCTTCTCTCTCATCATTGATGTTTCTATCTCTCTCCCTCTCCCTTCCTCTCTGAAATGAATAAAAAAAAAAGTCTTTTTTAAAAAAAGTAGTAATTAATGGGAAACAAGTTTTGTTTTTTATATATTTGCTTAACCATTCAGCTTTGACTTTCACACCACCCTAGGCCAAAAGCTTTACATCCACCACTAAAGGATTTAGTTTGAGTTAGCTTCCTCAAGAAGCCTTCCCTGATATTTCAAGGCTGGGTTACATATTCCTCTTATAAAGTTTCACAGTGCATCTTCCTAAGATGACCTTTATCACACTGTATCAATATCTTTCTGTTTATTTTTATTCATTTTTGCATCTTTCTTAGAAGTTAGTAGCTAAATAGCAATTATTAAAAAGTGTGTTGTGCAATGACATGTCTGAGTTTTAAAATCTTTTACTATGTCTCCCAGAAGTTTCAGAAAATGTCAGTCTCTGGTTCAAAAAATTTCAAAAGAATATTGAAAAGAAAAACAGAAACTATGTATAATGTTTTATCACATACTTTGTTTTCCAGAATATCAACCCTATTTTCACTAATGGATGTAAACCAGTAAGTAAATCTGTCTGTTTACAAATTGTATTTATAGAAAATGAGTTTCGCCCCCTCACTAAATATATACTGAAGTATATATTTAAAGACATAGCCTGAAATTCTTAGCCTACCCACAATCCTTATTCTTGACCCTGATCCCAAATTCTTAGCCTACCCACAATCCTCAGTCTTGACCCTGATCCCAGCACACAGCACCAACACACAGCAGGCCTGAAATAAATAGTTTGTTAAATGAATGAACCCCCCAAGAAAGTTGTAAAGCATATGACTGATATCTTCTTATATTAATTTCATTACCTGCATACTCATAAAACCAAGCCAGGCACTTCTTGCTTGAAAAATGTTCCTCTCCACTTATTAGTCTAGCAGGGGGTTGGGATCTGCAATAGCTTAGAAAACACACAAATGCCTAAGAATTTTATAGTCTCAACTTTTAGTGAAAAGCTAAGTTCAATACCATCTATGTCAATTCAAACTAAACAAAGTATTTTTTATTTTATTTTTTACAGCTGGTGTAATGGGGAAAAATAGAGTTAAGTATTTGCAATTTGATACAGTAGTCTATACATAAAAATGTGTGGCTAACAAAACCCAAATGCTACTTTGCTCACTATCAAATTCCAAAAATATCAACAAAAACTAATTCCCCAGATTTCAAGACCACACAGAAGTTCAACCTAATGGTCTCAATGCAGGAATGGTAGTTGGAAAGTATAAATCTTTATAATTCTTCTTCTGAATTGCATGGAAATCGTACTTGTGTATAATAGATATACATTTGAAAACAAAATCTTACAGTATATTTTGATAGTTAATTTATCAATATTTCAAAATAAAACTATATAGAGTTGTTTATCATCTATCAAGTTTAAGTAGATATTTAAAGATAAAAGACGATTTAGGACCTAAGGATATTAATTAAATTCTACAGATTAAAAAAACAACCAAAAAATCCCTAAGGATAACATTAATACAAATAATTGGGCCAAAGCTATTTAATCTGATTCTGTTTTCTTTTTCCACAAAGTCATTTAAAGTTAGTAAGTTCATAAGTGGCCTCTAGGATATAATGAACTTCAGAGAACCTTTTCTTGAGAAGCTCAAATAGTTACACTACCACAATGACATAGAAATGCTATAATTTCTGCAACTGAGTAATGTAAAATAAGGGTACCATATTTAAAAGTTTAAGTTGATAGAGCAAAGTATCACTTGAGTTATGACTGCTTAGCTTTTTTAAGTAATTACTTTAAATCATTTTGATACATTATATACTTAAGATACTTACAAGTTAAGAGTAATACAGAACTAATTTGCATGTTCCATAAAAATTGAGCTAGTGGAGTAACCATGTCAAATTCTAGTATGAGTTACCAAGAGGTATAAAAAAACATCATCTTGAAAAAAACTGAAATGAAAAGTAAAATCTTGCCCTAGCGGTTTTGGCTCAGTGGATAGAGCATCAACCTGCGGACTGAAGGGTTCCAGGTTTCATTCTGGTCAAGGGCACATACACAGGTTGCAGGCTCAATCACCAGTAGGGGGCGTGCAGGAGGCAGGTGATCAATGATTCTCATCATTTATGTTTCTATCTCCCTCTCCCTTCCTCTCTGAAATCAATAAAAATATATTTAGGCCCCTCCTGGGGGCCTGTGTTTCTGGAGCTTCTAAAAACAAAACAAACAAACAAAAAAACATCATCTTTCACAGGAATCGCCCAAGAAATATACTTAGGCTCTGTTTTCCCAAACAGCTTAATGAAGGAAAAAAAACAACTGAACCAATCACAAAAAGAAAGATGCGGACTAAGTAAGTTACCTACCTCACATTTTAAGCATAACTAAGTAGAGTTCTATTATTATCTCTCGCCTTTATAATGCTGGCTACAGTATTCTTTTAACGGTGGCATCTGAAGTTGTCACACTAAGTGCCAACCACAGATACAATCAGACACTCCATAAGAATTAAAAAAACCACTCCTCACACCTAAATGGCAATAATCTTTTGCATTATATAATGTTGCGGTGATGCCTCAACGACATGTTACAATGGGATCAAAGAGCTACAACTACAGCTCTGCTTTGTTTTCTTTTTCTTCCAGAGAATAGAGTACAATAGCTCTCAATTATTAATATTTATATTGAGAGCGAACAGCATCCTGGATGCCAGAAAACAAAACGCATTCAGGGGCTTCCCCATTCGGCACCCAGGCACTTGGCGCAGGTGGAGGCACTAGGCTTCCAGAAAAGGGGCCTCCTGCCGGGGCGCTCCGGGTTAGACCGCTAAAGGTGGAGGCCAACTGCAACCTGGGGAGCTTTCCTTCCTATCATTCCCAGGGCAGTTGGCAGGTCAAGATTTGTCCTGTTTTGCTCCTTTCTTCACTCTACGAAGGAATTCTAGACGCGACCCTGCCGCGATCTGTTTGGAAAGAAGGTGGAGGAGGGGTTAGGGCCGTCGGGGTGAGAGAAGGAGCGCGATTGCCTTGCGCACTCGTCTCCCCACCCTCCAGGGCACGTAGACGGCCGCGGGGGACTCCGCCGGTCCCTCCTGGCGCCGCAGCACACGCACCGAACACGCGATGGGTCCGGCGCAGACTCGCGGCGATCGGCGCCCACCACGTAGGTTTAATTGAGGGGTGGGGGGGAGGGGGCGCCTCTCCCCAGCTCGAGCCTGGGAGACCCGACTCGCCTCCTCCTCCTCTGGCCGCCCAGCAGAGGAGGAAAGACTGAAGGGGGGTGGGGGGAGGTGGTACCTGGAGATTTTACACTTTTTGAGGCCTCCGTCTTCCGCTACTGCCGCTGCCACGCCAGACGATTTTCTCTTCTTCTTCACCGGCATCTTCCGCCCTCCCCGGCAGGGCGGGCAGGGGAGCCGGGGGAGGGGGTCGCTGTCCGCGGAAGGCCCCTCAGTGCTGCCCCCCGGTTCCCAGAGACAGTTTTTTTCCTCCTCCCGGTCTTCCTGTGCTCGGGGCAGCGGGTCACTGCTCACCGGTGGACACTGCGGCTGGGTCTCTCCGGGCAGGGAGGACGCGGACTGGCCGGCACCGCCACCAGTCACAGACTCCGAGAGCAAGAGGCTCAGCCTGACCCGGATGCGCCTCGCCGAGGACCGGAAGTGACGCAGCGCCGAGCTGGTCGCCGGGAGGGGCGGAGCTCTGGTTGCTATGCTGTAGCGGCCTCCGGCTGGAGGACGCCAAGTACCGGCCCGGAGGGGAGAAATGGGCTTGGTGGGCCCTTTGACCGCCTCGGTGGCCTTTCTCGGGAAACTTCCACCCGCCCCTAATGCTGGTAAGACACCTCCAAGAAATGTTTTATGAAACCACTAATACTTTGGCCTTAAAAATAACTTGGTAAAGTAAACCAAATTTCACTTATGAGCTCTTCCATTCATTCGGTAACCTCATGTCCATTGTTACTTCTTAAATGCACGTTTTCTTTCTGGGCTGGCCGGCCGGCAGCCGCCCACTCGCACACCCCTTCATTGTCCCTCACCCCTGTGCCTTGTTAAAACTTAGCTTTACATTTCTCACCTGTCACATAAGAAACAGTAGGTAGTCGCTGACGTAGTAAAGAGGAATTTGGGGAGCATTTCTAAGGGGCCTTCCCTCAAACTTTTACCCCAAACACCTGTAATGACTCCACCATCACTTCAGTGAAAATATTGTTTATAAATAAAGGTTGTTGCATATAAAGATTATATAGTAGAAAGTCGCTTTAGTCAATATATATGTAAAATAAGTTAACATCTGTAAACCAAAGTGAGTTTATAGAGAAAGAAAGTATCTTTAAATTCAGTAACAGCCCATGTGGTTCTAGTGAGATGACTTCCACCTGGGCACTCATTTGGACAATCAGAATATCCTATTTCCTTAGGCCATTAATTGGCTCAGAAGGACATCTGATCCAAACCAGGCCCATCAGTGCCAATGACATGAAACTGAACCATCAGGAATCAATTTATTTCCTATGGACTTGACCTGAGAGGATGCAAGAATAAGCCAAAACTCAGAAAAGACCAGAATCAAGGAGAAAAATAAAACAACAAAAACAAATGATTTTCTGGTATAAAGCCTGAGTCCATGATATGCCCTGAAAATATGAGTTACATGAGCCACTAAAACTCACCATTTTGCTTATGCAGTACCCTGTTATTTACAACTTAAAGAAGGTTGTTCCGAATGCTACTGTAATCCTTCAACTCAATTAAAAATGCATGAGACCAGCCCTGACTGGTTTGGCTCAGTGGATAGAGCGTCGGCCTGCGGACTGAAAGGTCCCAGGTTTGATTCCGGTCAAGGGCATGTACCTTGGTTGTGGGCACATCCCCGGTGGGAGGTGTGCAGGAGGCAGCTGATTGATGTTTCTCTCTCATTGATGTTTCTAATTCTCTATCCCTCTCCCTTCCTCTCTGTAAAATATCAATAAAATGTATTTTTTTTAAATGCATGAGACCAAAACATCAAATCTGAATAAAATCCAGTCTCTAAAAAAATATACCATCTGTATGTAGGGACAGTGGAACATGTTAACACTCAATGCAATCAGCAAGATCTAGACTGTCAGAAATTCTACAAGAAAAATGACCCAGATTCTGCAACAAGGTATTAGAGAAGGAAATTTTCAAGGATATATTAATCATTTTCCATATTTGAATCTTGAGTTAAAAAAATGTTGAATAATATGACAATTATAGGACAATTGGAAATTTGAAAACTAGCTGAATATTTGATGAAATTCTAGAACAGTGGTTCTCAACCTTGGCTGCACATTAGAATCACCTGGGAAATAGGATTTTAAAAAGATTCCCAGGTGATTCTAATGTGCAGCCAAGGTTGAGAACCACTGTTCTAGAACAAGCAAAACTTACTTACAGGGCAGTATATCAGTAATGCCTGGGGACTAGGATAGGGTGGTGATAGAGGGAAAAGTCTGACTGTAAAGAGGCAAAGGGAACTATATTGGATAATAGACATATTCTATGTCTTATTGAGGTAGTGGTGTATATACTTGTCAAAGCTCATTGAACTGTACAATTAAAGATATATGCCCTTATCATATGAATATTATTCCTCAATAAGTTGAAATAAAAAGTGCAAATAGCCCAGCCAGTGTGGCTTAGTGGCTGATTGTTGACCCAGGAACCAAGAGGTCACAGGTTCAATTCCTGGTCAGGGCACATGCCCAGGTTGTGGGCTCAATCCCCAGTAGGGGGTGTGAAGGAAGCAGCTGATTGATGATTTTCTCTCATCAATGTTTCTATCTTCAAATTTCCAATCCTTTATAATAAAACCCTAATATGCAATTTGACCGAACAGCCAAACGAACAGCGGAAGGCCGGTCGCTATGACTGCACTGACCACCATGGGGCAGACGCTCAATGCAGGAGCTGTCCCCGGTTTTGTGTTGAGCTTCTGCCCCCTGAGAGGGAGGCAACCGGCAGTGGTGGGGGGCGGGGCCGGCCAGCGGGCAGTAGCAGGCCACCAGCCAAGGCGGGTGCCAGCAGGGGGCTCCCCGATCGCCCCACCCGCCGATCACCCAACAGATCAGCCCTGATCGCCGACCAGGCAACCCTACCCTATATATTGGGAACAGTCTCTTAGATTTAAAAATTAAAACCTGGCAAGGCTACTCTAACACTGAAAAAACAGGATGATGCAGTGATGACATGCATGGACTCTGGCTTGCACATTTTGTGGTCAGCCCTGATTCTGACACTTAAACTGTGTGACACAGCCAATTACTTAACTTCTCTCTGCTTCCGTTTTTCCACCCATAAGATGGGAAAAATAGTACTACTGCCTCAGAAGGATCATGTTATGTACTACTTTTTATAATCAGGGCAAAAAAAGGTAGCTGCCCATACAACAGCAAGATGCCTTTCACCTGTATGAAAAGTATGGTCACTGGTGCATGCAGCATCCTGGATTGCAAGAGGGATGTCTGCCGGTTGTTGGACATCCCACGAGGGGTCCTGGATTGCGAGTGGGCGTACGCTGGGCTGAGGGACCGCGCCCCCCCCCCCCGCAAGAATTTCGTGCACCGGGCCTCTAGTTGTCCTATAAATGTCATACTATTCAATGTTCCTCTCCCTTTAAAAATCAATAAGAATATTTTTAAAGAGCAAACAAATATACCCCAAATAATGACACTATTAGACATTAACAAAGCTTATTTCAAGAAGTGAGCTATAAAATCTAAATATCCCTTTTCACAAATAGAAAAGAGAAATGGAATAAAAATCTAAATGATGAAGACAAAGACCTGAGAGGACAATGTTCAAGGGATATCCTTCCAGAGAGCAGAATTAAGGTTGAATCAAGAGGTAAGGAACCTTTACAAAGCCTGTCTAGCAGGATATCAGCATTGCTGTGGCCCAGTGACTATGTATATCCTCCATTCTTTTCTCAATAGGAATATTTATTGTGATTATTATGTCCCTTCTCCACTGTTGTTTATTATAAGAGAGTGGAGAGGCCACTTCTAGACTAGGAAGAACCACTTCTAGACTAGGAAGAAGACCCAACCACACCTGGAGACTCTGGAGATTCAACTGAAAGCAATGACTGGATAGGAGCCTACTTGCATCTATAGAATTCTCTGGAAAAAAGGTAAAAGACTGGTTCTTTGTATGGTATTCATTCTTTCAGTCTATTATTCAAATAATGTGTAATGATCACTTAAAATTAGGAAATGTTTTTGGTTTAGGTATATAAAAGGCAGGTATGACTCTTGCATTCATAAAGTTTACAGTCTGGAGAGGGAAGTATATGCAGCCCATATGCATTTGAGAACAAAGAATAGGGTCAATAATCTGTGCTTGTCGATGATTATAAAGGGATGGTGTTTTCAGTCATATAGATAATTTTCTTTACTGTTTTCCCTGATCAGTACCTACTGTCACCACCATACCTTCATTCTCAAAATGGAGCATTCCATTACCCTAATTACGCTCAATACAAACTATGTATAGAATATATAAATTAATAAATTTTAGGGCACTATATTTGGCTGCTTTGATAAAGATACAACTGTTTTAAAAGATCCTTTTCATAACTTCATTCTATAACGAAGGGACCTATTGGTAGCATCACTGCCTGTGAATAGTATGGAAATGTTTAGTTATGTGGTTTTAATCTTATCTGCTGCTCATCAGCATACAAATAGGATATTATTTTTCACCAAGAAGGCACCTATAATGGGGAAAGAAACTGTGACAGAGTACTATAGTTCTTTGTTGTGTAGAAGAATTTTTTAATGAAAGTAATGAGAAGGGAGGGATAAAGCATTTATTTAACCCCTAGAGTGCCGGGGAGCGCAATCGCGCTCCTCCTGTCTTTCGCCAAAAGTGCCTCCTCCTGCAGCGTCACTATTAGGTGCTAGTAGTTCACTCTTTATTGACAGATGGCACCTAAGTGCAGATTACTTATGATGCTGAATGTTTGTAGTTCTAAAATTGACCACTGGCATTTATCTGCCTAATTTTTTACAGGTACTACGATTTTATGAAGTTTACTCAGATTTTGTAGCCCTAAAGCTTCAAAATGGCATCCAGTTCTAAGTCTGCTTTTATTAGTGATGATAATATTGCTAAATATGTCAATTCTTGCTGTGAAGATGATTTTGTGGAAGATATTGGAGAAGGGTGTCCCTCTGGAAGTGATCAAGAATGTCCCATCAAATCAGAATTGGAAAGTGATTGCAGTGTTTGTCCCTCTGAAACGTAAACGAGTCCCAGTAATAATTGAAAGTTCAGACAGTTACAGCACATGTGAAAACGTTGAAGATTTACACAATTCTAGTTTTCCTGTGTTTATTGAAACACAACCTGGCCAAGATTTATATGTGCAGTCTAGTCTTTCTTTCCTAGAATCACCGGGTCCGAAGCATGCTCCTCCCCAGGATGCCAAACCTATTATTTTGACATGTTTTTCACTTTGGCTTTGTGGAATCTAATGCTGGCTGAAACTAATAGGTATGGAAATCAGTTTTTGCGTTCTCAGCAGCAAATATCACCCAATTTTAGAGTCAGACAATGGAGGCCTGTAAACGTCCTTGAAATGAAAGCATTTGTGGCTGTGCTGTTGGAAATGGGAATTACACGAAGGCCTACCATATTCTCATACTGGGATAGGAATAGTAGAGCCATTCCATGGTTTGGGAACATGTTCTCAAGAAATAGATTTCAACTGATATTAAAATTTTTTCATCTTGTTGACAATGAAAAACTGTTTCCACCAGGTCATCAGAATTATGACCCCTGCTCTAAATTTATCCCCCTTGTTGAGCATGCAAATAGGTTGTTCAGATTTCATTACACACCCCACCAGCACTTATCCATTGATGAGTCCCTAATACAATATCTTCGAAATAAGAAGCACCACAAGTGGGGAATAAAGTGTTGGATGTTGTGTGACTCTGTTGTACATTATTGTTTAGGTTTTTTCTGCTACGAAGGTGCAAAATGTGAAGAAAAGGCTGAGATCAAAAAGAAAGGCCTTGGTCATGTAGTAGTGACCAAGTTGCTCCAACTTGGGAACTACCTAAATAAGGGATATCATGTAGTGATTGACAACTTCTTTACCAGTATTGCTCTAGCAAAGTATCTGTTTGAAAATGCAACTTACCTCACTGGAACAATAAGATCTAACAGGAGGGGCCTGCCAAAGGATATTACAGCAGATTATGATATAGGGCAGGTCAAATATTTCTGCAGTGATGAGATTCTTTTGTGTGGATTTAGAGAGAAAAAATCTAAAAAGAAACCGGTGTTGCTTCTTTCAACCCATGCCGTTGCTGAGAATGAAACATTGCATAGAAGACGATATTCCCAAGAAAGAGAAATATCCAAACCAGCAATAATAAACCAGTACAACAAATTCATGGGAGGAGTAGATGTATCAGATATGATGCTTTACACCTACCTAGATGAAAGAAGAACTTTGAAGTACTGGAAAAAGGTGGTTTTCAGTATCTTTGCTAGGATGGTGTTAAATTCTTATCTAATATACAAAGAGAACACGTCAGGCAGAATTATGTCCCGTATCCAGTTCACTTCATCCATTATACAGGCAATTGAGGAAGAATGGCTGGCAGAAAAGAGTAATAACTCAATCTCATCGGTACCAATGAAACAAGCAGATGATGCATTATTGCGAAAATTGCCTGGCAGAAATCTAAGAAGGTGTGTAGTATGCAGCAACAAAGATGGAGGACCTGTAAAACGATCCAACACCGTGTGTGCTAAGTGTGGGAAAGGGCTTCATGGACTATGTGTAGGAAAGCACAGCTGTTAGTGATTCCAGAAACAGTCTCCCTACTCAAAGTATTTTTTTGTAAAAAGATTGAAATTTTTGTTCTGCAATTATTTATGAACCTAGAAGGATGATTTTTTTGTGCATTCAAAGAATATACTAAATATTTTAGATTTTTTATCAAAATCTTATTAAAAGTTAATATCTTCATTCATGTATTCAAAGTCAACATTAATTTTATTTTAACATATGTTTTGTTCAAATTTTTTTTCTACTAGTTTATAATACAATCAGCAAACAAGGTATGTCAAAGATGAAAACAAATGTGGTAAAGGTTTCCTTAAGTTTTTGAATATGTAACTTCATTTACTTGCGATTCATAATTTTTTTCCTAAACTGTAAAATCAGCAAAAATGCCTTCGCAATTTTAGTATAGTTCCTAGGATATTGGTTGGCACTGAAAGGGTTAAAGCAGAAACTCAGGTGTTCTGGTTTCATATCCAAAGAAGATACTCGGTGATTTTAGGTAAGATAACTTTTATCCCTCGTTTTATCCTACTGTTACAGAGAAGGATGTGGAAAAAATAAATAATCCATCTATAAGGACAGTGGACATATATTTATGCCAGATAGGGCATGAGGTGGAAGAACCGAGACTGAACATAGTTTTGTCATCTATTTGATATATTGGATATCCCTTAGCTTTTGGGGGGTTATAGAATGAAAGTAATGAAAAAGATCTTTTAAAATAATTGTATCTGTATCAAAGCAGCCAACAAATATAGTGCCCTAAAATTTATTAATTTATATATTCTATACATAGTTTGTATTTTCTTAATACCTCTTTAAAATATGGCATTTCCACTTGCCAGAAAAACAGGCAACACAGAATTTCAGTGATTTATGGAATGCCATGTTATATGGTCCTGAATTTATATAAATACTTTCCATATATTAACCCTGGTGAAAATTTTGTAAAATATTCCCATGCACATAAACCCTGAAAATGAAGACTAAGAGAACAGTAGAAATGGGATGTTTTGGAGCATTAGTAAAGTCCACAGGAATTCCTAGTGTTTTAGAGAAGCTCAACAGTGCAGAACTATGGAGCACATGCCATGTGCCCTTTACATCTTAAGCAGTGTGCTAGAGGACACTTACTGCAGCCTGACGGTGGCTGTGGTTCACTCTGGGACCCAGACTGAGGAGTGACTACTCTCTGGAGCATCGCTTGTTATCGTGATGAAGGGCAAGGAAAACATGGTGAACCCCATGCTGGCTGTTAAAAGTTCTGTGCTGAAATGACACATACCACTTCCACATTCAATCAAGATAGGAATGTATAATCCTTTTGCAGAGAGAGGCACCAAATAAAGATAAATATAGTCCACAATAGTATGGGATTGGAACGCAATTTTATTGAAGATCCAGGGAAGAATGAGTTCACAGAGCAGTTTTAAAGGGATAGTAGGGAAAATTATAAGATTAGTGTCTGCTTTACTTCACATTGACACATTGTATTTTCCAAAGATGGTCACAATGATCTTTCAATCCTCTTGTTCTAGAACCTTACCACTCCCTCTCAGTAAATGGAGTCTTGTTAATAATAGTCATCATCATCCTTTATCATCAATGTTGGTTCATTGAGTCCTATACCATACAAATGTAAGATGTTAATAGAGGAAGCTGGGTGTGAAATATATGGGAACTTTCTGTATTATTGCAACTTTTCTGTAAACCTCAAAGTATTCTAAAATAGTTTGTTTTTAAAAAGTCAAAGTGAACAGAAATAAATAATTAAAAAATAAAGTGCAGGAAGAAAGAGTAATAACTCAAGAAAACCACCTCTGCTGGGTGCTTTGAAAGGTCAGACTTCATAAAATTCTGGATGTCGGATCATAGGTAGGAAGCATTGTCTTGTATATCAAGTGCCCAACAACAAAGCTGAACCCTTACCAGGAGGACTACGAATTACTGCTGGACACCTGATTTGCCTTGCAGCATATGAATATATACCGCAAATGAAGAAAAGTGGTTCACAGAATCAAATTACTACTGGCAGAGAGGACAGTGTGTTGATGACTTGCTGCAGAGGAAAACTGTTTTTAGATGAGTGGTAGGACCAAGTGAGTGCCGGCAGTTTGTGTTTAGGTGTGTGTGTTTTTAAATATATTTTTATTGACTTCAGAGAGAAAGGAAGAGGAAGAGAGAGAAACATCAATGATGAGAGAAAAACATTGACTGGCTGCCTCCTGCACGCCCCCCACTGGGGATCAAGCCCACAACCCAGGCATGTGCCCTTGACCGGAATCGAACCTGGGACCCTTTAGTCCGCAGGCTGATGATGCTCTATCCACTGAGCCAAACTGGCTAGGGCAGGTGTGTTTTTATAAGCATTTTCATAGTCTTAGACTAAGATGGGTGTTGTTTTGTCACACTTTCCAAATAACATTGGAAAGATGGCATTGTGGAAAAGGTTTCTTAAAGTGAAAACTTTAAGATTGATGGATTTGCCCTTTAAAGTTTTGCAACCTTGAATAAAATGTTTTACCATCTGTGTAATAAAATGTATGCCTTAGCTAGATATCACAGTACTGTACTGTTGAAAAATAATAAAATAAATGTGAATGTGTTATCAAAACTAACTGCTAAGGGGTATATAATTATGTATCAGCTGGAATCCCTAGGGTACACCCTACAAAAATCAAGTTGTTCTAGTCTAGAGTTTATTTAAGGTTGTTCAAAGGATGGAATTGCAAAGAAGGGGACATGGAAAAGAGGTGACTTACTCTGTTTTCCATTCCCATTCAAGTTCTGGTAATGGGGCTTTCCTTTCCTATCACTATTACCTTTATTAAATGTCAATGGCCCTGTCTTTGTTTCCAGGGATCTTAACCAAGTTCTCCACCATTGAAAATAGGATTGTCTACACAGGCCAGTTTGAATGAGACTCAGCAAATTCTTAGGTCATGGTTAGGCATTACTTCTTTGGAAAATCCAAAGGTGACATGTGGGCAGTTACTGAAATCTCTTGCAATGCAGCACAAAGCAGATTAGTTCACCGGACTGTAGCAGAGGCAATGATTCCTAGAAAGACAGTAAATCATCTACAAATTGTCTTATTTACTCAGCACCTACCCATATATGGCTGTGGTCACTGGCAGTTGCAACGCTGACATTTCTTAATGCTGAGTTTGCTCTTTTCCATGTGTTCTTTTGCAGATCTACTCCCTCATCTATAGCTTCACAGAGATCTCAAGTTTGAGAGAGAGTTTGAGCCAAGTTTGAGCCCTATCCAACTCTTGAACCCCTTCCTAGCCAAGATAACATTCAGTTGTTAGGGCATAAAGGTATGCTCTGCTTTCAGGGCCTGTACTTTCTATCTTTAATATATTTTTATTTATTTCAGAGAAGAAGGGAGTGGGAGAGAGATAGAAACATCAATGATGAGAGAGAATCACTCATCAGCTGCCTCCTGGCACACCTCCTATTGGGGATCCAGCCTGAAACCTGGGCATGTGCATTGACTGGGAATCGAAACATGACCTCCTGGTTCATAGGTTGACCCTCAACCACTGAGCCATGCCAGACAGGCTTAAGTATTTTTTTTTTTTTTAGTCACCAAAGGATATTTTTCCATTGATTTTTAGAAAGAGGGGAAGAGAAAGGGAAAGACAGAGGGAAACATTGATGTGAGAGAAACAAATTGATTGGTTGCCTCCTACATGCGCCCTGACCAGGGCCCGGGCCAGGGAGAAGCCTGAAACCGAGGTACGTGCCCTTGACCAGAATCGAACCTGGACCCTTTGGTCCACAGGCCGACGCTCTATCCACTGAGCCAAAGGGCAAGGCCTGCAATTTAACTTGCAAGAACCTTCTGGTCTCCAAAGAAAATGTGGCTCATCAGAATCAAAAGTTTTGGCTTTCAATTGCATTTTTTAAATATCATGGGGTTTCAAAGTATAGTTTTACAGTAAACAGAACAAAAAATTAACTATTTTTCCTTTCTGATTTTACAGTCAGTGCTTGAGGTAATGAGAATCACACTGACTTTAAAGATCATGAGTAAGAATGTGCAGAAAAGAAAACCACACAAATGTTTTTAAGATATTTTCCCCTATGGGCTAAACAACAAGAGAATTCTCAGACAATCTTCATTGAACTCTTCCACATTCTATACTATATAGCTAAAGCTTCCATTTGCACATCCTTCTGATATAACCTACACCTACAACCAGTAACATAACTTGTAGGGCCCTGAGCAAATTGAAAATGTAGAGTTTTGTTCAAAAATTATTGATCTGTAAGAGCAGACCATTAAACCCAGGGCAGGGACATGCTCATGAAGCCACCCCTGCACACACCTTAAAAGCAAGTCAAGCCTGAGTGACCCCCAGTTTTCATTCAATGGAGCTCTATGTTTCTGTGTCAGAAAGTGCTGTGTGTTCTAAACGCATTCTTATTTTAGAGACACATTATATTTCCCACCCTATCTTGCAATCAGGAATTGCCATGAGAAGGTTCTATGTAAGGCCTCACTCTTTATCTGCAACTCAGACAGATTAAAAATAATTCAGGAGAGAATTCTGTCATTTCAGAGAATAGTGAAGCCACAAAATAGAAGAGGTCTAGATTCCTGAATCATCATATGGAAGACTGCCTGCCAAATACTACATTGAACTGTCAAATGAAGGAGAAATAAAACCAGTGAAATTTTGTGGTTTATTGTAATGTTTGACATACCTTGACTATACGTCAGGAGTAACCTATGTTAAAATAAAAAATGACACCAAAATCTCAATGTCTTATAACAAAAATTTATTTCTTATTTATGATATACCATCCAGAAGACTATACTTATCATAGCTACTCAGGGAACTAAGCTGATGAAACTTCACCATGACTTATGCTTCCATGATCATCACAGCAGTGGAAAAAAATCATGATTATACATTGTAAGGTTTTTGTGTATACTGGTATGTAATACATCATTTCTACTTACATATCAAAGACCATAAGTCAAATGGCCATGCCTATCTTTAAAAAGAGCAAAGAAGCCCAGCCGATAGGGCTCAGTCGTTGAGCATTGACCTAGGAACCAAGAGGTCACAGTTTAATTCCTGGTCAGGGCACATGTAGGAGGCATGCAGGAGGCAGCCCATGGATGATGTTTCTCATTGATGTTTCTATCTCTCCCTCTCTCTTTCTCTCTGTAAAAATAAATGAAAAAAAAATTTTTTTAAAGCGCAAAGAAGTATAATCTCATGTGCCAAAAGGGGGAATCCAGACATATTTTGGAAATGACAGTCCTGAATACCACATGGTTATAGACATTGGTTTTTGGAAGGAGAGTGCTGCCATACAGAAAGTTAAAATATGTTGTATAGAATAAGTAGGCAGCAAAGAAACATTAGTACAGGCTGGTTAGCTGGAGAGCTCTAGTGCGCCTTGATAAAATATTTAGTAAAACTGTCCTCCGTGAGAAGTAGAAGGTAGGCCATGAGCCTAATGAGACTCTTAACTGTATGGGAAGTAGATAGAGGGAGGGTAATGGTGTGAAGTGAAAATCATTTTGCAAAAATCAGATTAAGGGTTTTAACTTTGCTATCCAAGCCTATTGCTTCAGATAGCCTCAAGAGGGGCATTTGCAAAGAAATAAATCATTCTTGATAATTACCTACAGAAAAGAACTAGAATGTGAAATTTAGAATATGAAATTAAAAGCAAATATATCAGCCTACTAAGTTTTTAAGGGAATTGTATTGTTAATGAAACCATGTGCCTGGACTGAAAAAGACTTTGAGCAACCATCAAGCTCCCAGAGTGTCCCCAGCAGAAAGCCCAGATAACTTATCTTTTTGGTTTATGGGTTGTACCCTGAGGACCCACATTTGAACCTGATGGAAAGGCCTGTGCATCACATGAAGCTGTAATTCATTGACTTCACAACCCTATCCCTGACAAGTACACTAGACCCATGATAGGAATAACTTTCATTGGTTTCAGTGAATATGTTTCTTAATGGTGTAAATTTTCAAATTTCATATTTATTATCTTTAGGGATTAAAGGGGCCAAGTCAATACTTGAAAAATGGGAATTGTAACATGACCTCTTTTCCTTTAAATTTATCCTGAGCTACCTTGTTAAATAAATTTGTGCTGCCAAATTTTTAATGTTCTATTCTCATAGCAACAGGCTGTGATGTCAGAGGGTTATCACAAAATTGATTAAAAAAAAATATGCTAGGCTGTGAAGCAGAAAGTTCTGATTGTTGCATGTTATTAAAATATCATGTTATGTAAATAAAAATGGAAACAGATCAAAAATAAAAGACTCAAAATAACAAGCTTATGTGAACATTTTTATTAATTGCCATAGTATATAAAAAAAAGCTTTCCCTTCAGCACTTTTTATCAGTGGTTAGTATTTTTAAAAAAATACTATTAAAAAGCATTCGGTTACAAGTCTGAGCAACATTATTTCCTGCAAATTAAAGGTAAGCTAGATCATGCACACAGTAAAGAAAGCATCAAAGCATCTAAAAGAATTGCTATACAGGGAAAGATTACCTATTAATATGTTTTTGCATTTTTTTTCTACTAAAAACCTAGCATACTTCATCACACTGAAAGGCATAATTAAAAGCATTACATCAGACAAATAATTATCACATAATTTGGTATAGGTGCAATAAACTTCATTAAGACAGCATTCTGTAAAGCACCTTTACAAACTCACATGCCCACAGGGTCTGGTAGGTATGTAAATTAGTGAAATGGCCTGGGTGTGAGACAGTGGGGTTGATGAGTGCATGTTCTATCTATAGCAGTTTAGATGGGCTAGGTTAGGCCAGAACAACAAAGAAGACAATAGCTTAGTTGTTGAAGACAAAATTTGTTTACTTGCTCAAGCTACATGTGGTCAAGGATCAGCTGGGAACTCTGCTCTTTGTCATTAGAGCAGCCACTTTGTAGAACATTACTGGTTACTATGGCAGAGGAAAAAGAGATTCCATTCTCACACTGCACAACTCCAGGAGCAGCTGTGTAGGGCAGTTTACAAACTGATATTTGCATTAAAAGTGGCCTGTTCAAAATAATGAATTAAATAGGAAGCAAGTACCACCTTATATTAATAAGCTCTTATGCTCATTATCCATAAAATGTAAAATTTAATCTTTGTAAACAGGCTATGAGATAAATGCATATTATCACCTTCATTATACAGAAAGGGAAACTGAGATTTGGAGAGTTTAAATAACTCGAACAAGATAGCACAGTTGTCAGGGTGTAAAAGAAGAGTTAATACAAACTAGTGCACTCTCCTGGGGAATGCACTCCTTTCACTCATCTGAAATAAAAGGGGATTCATATAGCACCACTCTTCAAAAACATAGGTGTACTAGCAAAACTGCACGAGACCTGGGACCCCCCCCCCCCCACCGCCCTCCATGGGACCTTACCCAAATGCTCTGAACACAAACCCCTGCACTTGCTACTGGGATGAGGTTCATGTGAGCGGCCATCTTGGCTACACCCCCTTACACCTCGCTAAGTCATCAAGGTCACGTCATTTTGCTTATTCACATTACAGCCCTGTCCGCCCAACAACACCTTAAGCCATACCCTGGCCACACCCGCTAAGGGCACCTGGGCTTTGCTCAGTCGAGCACCTGCACGCTAACTTGGTCCTTCCTCTGCCCTCCACCTGGTTTCAAACCTCCTAGGACAGTGGTTCTCAACCTTCCTAATGCCGCGACCCTTTAATACAGTTCCTCATGTTGTGGTGACCCCCAACCATAAAATTATTTTCGTTGCTACTTCATAATTGTCATTTTGCTACTGTTATGAATCGTAATGTAAATATCTGATATGCAGGATGTATTTTCATTGTTCGCGACCCACAGGTTGAGAACCGCTGTTCTAGGAGGACTTTCTTCATGACGCCTCTGAGGGCAACAAAGCTACGCCCTACGGACCGGGCACACCCTCACGTTCAGGGTACATCCTTGCGTACACTACTCCGTGGCCCCTCCTGTCTATTGGTGTTCACCTTCATTCTGCTGACTCCACATCTGTCCCTTGTGCCCATGTCCCTGCTTTAACTCTAGTAATTCCTGTGCCTGAGTTTACCCCTCCTGCAATCTCTGGGCTAGGCCAAGGCCACGCCCTTACCCACAGGGCCAGTGCCTGTGCTCCTTCCCATGGTTCCAGGCTCTGCCCCTCCGGTCTGAGTCCCGGAGTCCCGCCCTGCGTGGCCAGTATGCCACGGGACAGCCCCAGTCCTGGAGTACTGCCCCAATGCTCTGCCTCCGGTCACCCGGGCCACGGAAACCCTGGAAGCCGCGCAAAGCGGACACCAGGAACCTCACGCCCCCTTGGGGCCACAAGAACCCTGGCAGAAGCCGCACAAAGTAGCCGCTGGACCCACCCCCGCTGCGCGCAACGCCATCTTGTGATGGCGTCATGGCATGAGGGTTAATTTGCATATTACCTCTTTATCAATAGGATTTTTCTATTCTGTTGGTGGACATTTAGGTGTTTGCGGTTTTGGACTATTAAAAACAATACTATTATGAGCATTCTTTTAGGGGCATCTTAGTATATCTACATATATAAAAGCCTAATATGCTAAGTGTCTGACCATTAAACTGGTCACTATGACACACACTGACCACCAGTGGGCAGACGCTCCAACCTGTAGGTTAGCTTGCTGCTGGGGTCCCACCCCTGTGCCCACCACCGCCTCATGACCCACAGTTACTTTCAAGGTGCACAAATTCGTGCACTGGGTCCCTAATCTATATATTTAAAATCCTAATATGCAAATAGACCGAACGGCAGAACAACCAGTCACTATGACGTGCGTTGACCAACAGTGGGTGCGTACAGAACATGGCAGGCATCGGCAGCAGGAGGCAGAGCGCGGAACATGGCGGGTATCAGCCATGGCGGGATGGTGGAGCAGGTGAGCGGGGGTGCCAGATCAAGGTGGGGCACCAGTTGCTGTTATCGGGGCGAGTCTCTCTGGTGGTTACTGAAAATTCTTTGCTCCTGTGCGTCACGGTCCCGCAGGGCGTTTGCACCTGCGGCCGGCACCGACCCCGCTCACTCCCGTTGCCGGCTCAGCGCCATCAGCGGGTGCAAGTGGTGGCTGCCGGCCTCGATCGCCCCTTAGGGTTTCTCCACCTCCCCCTGGCTCCTGAGGGGCAATTGTGGCCGGCAGCCACCTCTTACCCACTGACAGCGCCAAAGCTGCTGCTTACACCCACTGCTGGTACCCGGAACCTGTCCTGATCACTCGGCGCTGTCAGCAGGTGCAAGAGTGGCAGTTGCCGGTCCAGATCGCCCCTCAGGGCTTCTCTACCTCCCCCTGCTCCTGAGGGGCAATTGGGGCAGCAGCCGCCACTTGTACCCACTGCTGGTACTGGCCCCAATTGCTCCGCGTCATCAGTGGGTTCAAGCAGGGCCGGAGCCGTCAGCACGTGGGAGCGGTGGCGACAGGAGCAGGGCTGCCGGGCGGGGCCAGGCAGGGTGTGGAGGCTGGGCAGAGACCTGCCCCTGTGCCCACCACAGCCTCATGGCCCACAGTTCCTTTCAAGGTGCACGAATTCGTGCACTGGGCCCCTAGTCTATACTGATAATAGCCTAGGTCAGTGATGGTGAACCTATGACACGCGTGTCAGAGGTGACACACGAACTCATATTTTTGGTTG